TGGCGTCCATGCAGGGTTACACGTGGAGCATATGTTTTTTATGCCACAATTTGGTCTTCTTATATGGGGCAGTGAAAAGCAAAGTGTCGGTAGGGTAAAATTGAGTTGGGCGAGGCAAGGGGGGCAGGCAAACAGTAAAAAGGAGGAAAATGGCTGATGAGGCTGAGATGAGCGGCGACGCTGACGACGGAAGTCGGAGGCTGCTAGTCCAAGGAGACGGCGGAGATATATAGAGAAGGAGAGTGTGCGGAAAATGCAAGGGCGAGAGAGTCGTCATCGTCAAAGGGAGAGATAGTGAAGAGCATAGTGGATGCAGGGCTTCATGGCATTTTCACTTGCTTTTCCCTCATTGCTTCCATCTCTGCTACCCAGAGGTCCTCTGGTATGTATCACGATGCTTCCTCTTTACAGTGCTTAATTAAAGATTTGCAGTCATTAATTACTTAATATAGATTTCATATTTTTCCTCAAAAAAATGAAATTTTAAAGAAAACAAAGCAAAAATATGAACACCCACCGTGGGGCTCGAACCCACGACCACAAGGTTAAGAGCCTTGCGCTCTACCAACTGAGCTAGACGGGCTATTTTGGTACACCCTTGATTTTTGCAATAATTGATGCTTTTTATACGTTTGTAGTGGATGTGCTGGTTCTGAGTTTTGCAAACCTTGTGGTAGGAGGAATGTCAATGGGGCTTGATGATTTTGTGTCTAGTAACACTGAAGAAGACATGGCTCTGAAGGAGAAGGCAGTAAACGAGTGGGGTGTAACCAAGCATGGAAGACCTCAACAGGAAGAGCTACTAAAACAATACCAGGCACTCGGTGTGGACAATGATGATGCCACCACGGTACTCTTCAAAATCTACTTTTCATTGCCTTGGATTTGAAATTATGCATGCAGAAATCTGCTAACAAACTGCTCACCATATGCAAGGTGGTGAACGTTTTTGCAAAGTACAAGGATGTTTTAGTAGATGAGAAGCTGACAGCCCAACAAGGGACACCACCGCCTGACCAAGCAAGAGAGAAGCCTTGGATGAATGGTGTTGTGACACTAGTGTCTTTTATCACCTTTGGCACTGCACCACTCCTCTCTTTTGTCATCCTTGTGCCTTTCACAGACAGTGATATGTTCGAGTTTGGTGGTGCTTGTGCTTTGTCTGCGCTTGCTCTTGCACTTCTTGGAGTGGCAAAAGCCAAGATTGCTGGCCAGAACCCTGCACGCTCCGTGGCTAGTGTTCTTTTCAACGGTGCAGTTTCTGCCACAGCTGCTTATTCTCTTGGGTGGATTCTTAGGAATGTAGCCGAACATAAAGACTAAGTATTAAGTATAAACCTGAAGAGGGTAAACAATGAGCTTCATCCTCAGAATCAACCAAAGCAGAGAACAGAGGGTTGGATTTTGTTAATAAAAACATCCCCCAATTTTGAATACTGTACATCCGTTCTCAGCAAAGAAAAGGTTTATGCCCTGTAACTCCTAAGTCCTATTTCAACTCTTAATTTCAATAAATAATATACTAATAAAGTGAATAGATAACAGCAAGTTTGATGGAAACTGAATCAATTTCCTCCTGCTATAGATAATTGCAAGGCATGCTCTGCTTCCTTCAAAAATAGGCGGGTGAGTTCTTTCTGTCCTCGTCGATAAACTATGCTTGACCATCTGTTCCTACTAATTAGCTCATGCTGGTTTGAAGTGTTTGCGTTCTTGCTGCAGTAATGGTATATTCAGTATGCTCCTTGTCCTTTGAAAAAGGGGAACTGTAAGTTTAGAAATGCAAGGGTTTACCTTGGATTAGCTCCATACCTTGTTTTCTGTTGTGGGCTTCCAATAATGCAGGCCGTTTGGAGTAGTTCAGAATCACGATCCTCTGTTCCAGAACTCTCTTCAAGGTCCATCAGCCTTACATGCGCAGAATTGTAATACGTGATCTTCGTAATTGTTGTCATAGAAAACATAAATAAGGGAGAGTTTTGGCTCTTACTTTTTGTTGAGAAGATCAACAAGCAATTGTAAAGCTCCAGAATCCCCACAAGCCTCCCACATTGCTGCTCTTACTTCAGTCTCAGATGGCTGCCTTTCCCCTCCAGACCCAACAAGCTTTATGAAGAGTAAATTTTCAATTAGCACAAAAAACCCTAAAGGAGATGTTCAAGGTGGCTGTCAAGGGCAAACAGACTACTTCACAGAACTAAGAATTACGGCCAAAATGAAAGCACACCTCTTCAAGCATTGATGAAACCTTATACAGTTCATCTTCTTGCATAGCTATAGTCCTCAATGCAGTTAAGAAGTCTTCTGGAAAGACCAACTTATTCAAGTATGAGGGCGTCTTCCGCTGACCACTCCAACTGAAGTGGCAACTTCTTTCAACATTACATGTATTACTTTCTTTATTGTTTGAAAATCCTGCCGGAAAAAACCCCTGAGCCAGCAAACTTCTAGGCAAAAGACACCGCATTTCAGCCTTCTGTTAACAAAAACCGGCTTTATAAACAAAGACAAGAATACAACTGATTGTGCCGTGGATAGCAGAATAACATAGAAGAAAACTTAGTACCAAGTAAAAATTTATAAATGGCTGACCTGTGCTTCAAGTAGTTGTGCCTTGGATTCAGAAAAGGAGATTTTTTGAATTGCCTCAATGGGATAATGAACCTGTATAATTCACAAAAATCAGCAGGTGCAAGAGAGCATGCCAGAACTTGGACATGCTTGGTCAATCCAACTGGTTAAAAACTTTACCAGAAGAAAATAAAAGCACTGCACAAGCTACAAAAATTTGCATAAACATACCATAAGATAATCATCTGGGTTATTATCAATGACAAATCCATATAGGTAGAGCAGTTCCTGCATCAAATACAAGTTAACCATGTCTGTAGTGACCCAAAAAAGCAAAGTTGCTCTTGAATTTATGATTGATGAGAGATAGAAAAAGGCAGGAGATGGAAATTAACAGATATAAATTGCAAAGGGATAGGAAAGAATAATACGTTTCAGAAATACATGCCAAGAAGAGTACCTCATTTCCCTTGTCACCATAACTAATGGAAATCTCTCTCTCAACGGGCAATGAACTTTGCCCGGCTTTCCATTTGAAAAAAGAAATGAATAAGGCCATGAGAAATTGTATTTTAGATGATTAAACAAGAGAAAAACAAGTATCAAAGTTTTCATGTTAAAATGTTGCCATATGGCTACAAAAAATGAAACAAGAACTTCATACATAACCAAGATACTAGAGACCCTACCAGATAGAAGGTACATGGAGGAGGGGACTCCAGTTATTGATCCCGTTCCATCAACCTCCCATGTTGCCACTGCCTTCAAATCTTAAAAACACCATATGTTACACAATTAAATTAGACGTGTATATGAAAACTTCACAACCAAATGGTAAATGACTAGAATAGAACTCATATAAGTCAGAGAATCAGGGATGTTAAGAAGAACTAGCATACCATGGTTGCAAAAATCAATGGCAGGCACAAGGCCCTCTACCCAGATAGTTTCACCTTGTCTTGACACGGAAGTCACTTCATTGACTTTGCTATCAACTTCATGTACCTCTAATCCTAATAGAAGAAAGACGCAATCTGAGTTTAATTGGAAACATTAAAAGGTATGTAGCAAATTTTCAACTCTAAAACTGTAGAATTGTTGATAAAAAAAGAAAAAAATGTATTAAGGGTTAGAAATATAGTAATGGTAAATCATGAGCCAGCAGTATGCATAACCTTTTACCTTTTTCATTCTTTCCATTAATTGACTCTCCACCAGAAATATGGCTAGTGGAAACTTCAGAAGTTTTTTCAGCCAAACAGCTGATATCCTGATCTTCTTGAGTTCGTGGAAATACATAAGAATATGGAAGAGGAATGTTCAAAGCACGAGCCCAAAATACTGAATTTGCCCTACCATGATACAAACTAGTATATCAGCACTGACACCAGAAGTACTGGGAATGCAACTATATTGAACAAGACAGAATGCTGTTTCTTCATTTAAATTGGGAAAAAATGACTTCATTGGAGGATACATACCAAAGGAAATCTTCAAAGCATGCCTCACTGCAAAAGAAGAAAAAGAACCATGTATGTTTATGGTAAAGTCTTAAACTTGTATCTGAAGAATTTGACAAATTAATCAATCTAAATATATTAAACATGAATCCAAAAGGAAATGGCTAGGGATCTCATCAATGAAGCAAGTGCTGAAGGGGATGCTTAAAAAATGAAGAAAAAAACGTAATTAACATAAATATTTGAACCTCTCTGAATCACCATCCAGTATCAGAAGTTTCTTCACCAAACCCTTGACTTTGTCTTCATACAAAGACACCAACTTTTTCTTCTGGAAAATAAATAAATCTTTGATGACTAATAATCACCAATTTGATTTCCATTACAAATGCAGACCAAGTACGAAACAGCATTAACCTGCAATTCAGTTGCCCTGTACAAGTTCGTGCCCTTCAATTCCGAAAGCTCATCATCAGTAAACCAAAGTGGATTTCCAAATGTGGTTGGAAGCATATCAAGATACCTGATACAATAGTTCACCTAGTAAGTCTCAACTTTTGGGAGACAAAAGTAACACCTTTTACATCAAACTAATCCAATATACATACGGCTTCCAGGTAGAATTCTTACGAAGGCGCTCCACGGTAAGGAACAACATCATCAAAAACCTATCATCTACATCCCCCTCTTCATACATAGCTCTACACTCTGGTCCAAGCAGAGGATCTTGCAAAACTCTCATCGGAGTTATGGCTAAATCCAGTGGCACAACAAGCAATACTCCTGACAGTTTTTCCCAAGTCAATCAACTAATTTATCCATGAATTGCCAAAGAAAATCATAATTAAACATTTTCCCATCATTAATTACCATCGGGTGCATCTTTAGCGGAATAAATACCAAAACCTTTGCTTGAATCACAATATTTGATCTTGCAGCCGCGTAAATCAACCCCATTTACCTGAATTCAGATCATAATTCACTAATTTCGCATCTAAGAAACTGGAATTAAATGCTAAGCCTATTATTTCACACAGTTAAGAATGAACTGGAATGATTTTAGTGTTTTGAATTCGAACCTGAAGCCACTGGTGGAATCTATCGAGCTTTTCTTCCTCTATACACGCCATTGCTGCAACGAACTATCAGCAGAGCATCTCTGTCTCCGTCTAGGGTTTAAGGTTTTGGTTGAAACGACGTCGTTGTTGAACATCCAATTTTGTTAATAAATTTGTAGCATTTTAAGAGGAAAATTACGTATTAATCCTAAAATAAATTTAAATCTTAATTTTAGACCCTTTTATTTAATTAAAACCCTAATTTTAAACCCTAATTTTAGACCCTTTTATTTAATTAATATTTTAATATTAAAATTAATATATTAATATAATTAATTTTTAAATTTAAATATTAATATTTAGTAAAATAAACTTTTTAATTTTAATTTTTAAATATATATTAAAACTTTAATTTTTTTAAGAAATAAAGTTGATATCTATTGATATTTGACTTTTCGAGT